GGCTGGCTGGCATGTGGTGCTGGGGGATTGAACCGCGGTCCATGTGCATTGCTAAGCTTGTTCTAAGTAGGTGCTTTAGACCACTGAGCCATCTCACCATCGTAAAAGTTATCACTTCATCCTCCAACTTTTCCTGAGAGCTGTCTTCTTTAACAAGCTGTTCCTTAACTTTCCCCATACTTGATTTCTTTGCTTACTACAGTCTGTCCTCCGACTTAGCTGAATCCTGCCTCCTTGATAACTTACAATTATGACTTCTTCATGAAATTCTTTTCTTTAGCTCATAGAAAAAAAAAAAAAAACCTACTCTAAGGTTCCTTTTTTTTTTAATTGAGAAATAAATATGAGGGCTGGAGAGATGGCTCAGTGGTCTAAAGCACCTACTTGAAACAAGCTTGTCAAAGCACAGGGACTGCGGTTGATCCCCCAGCATCACATGCCAGCCAGCCCCGCCCCCTGGTGGGCTGAGCTGGCCACACACACACACAATAAATAAATGTAATAAATAAGTAATTTAAAAAAAAAAGAAATAAATATGAATGAGACAGTTTCATAGCTGATTAATAGGACAGTTTTGATAATCAGTACATTGTACATTGTTATCTTAGTGATTCTAAGGTTCCTTGGTGTGTTGTTTTTTTGTTTTTTAATTTAATTAATTAATTATTTTTGCGGAGCCAAGGATTGAACTCAAGCCCTTGTGCTTGCTAGGCAAGCACTTATTCAACTGAGCTATCTCCCCAGCGCCCCTGTTTTTTAATTTTAGGGAAGGGTCTACAGGGTGTTCAGGGTCTCATGACTAGATCGGACTCATAGTGATTCTTCTGTTTACGGCCTCTGGAGAGCTGGGGTTACAGGTGTGTGCCACTAGGCCCAGTCTCAGTTGGGCTCAGCATGCCCTAGGGGCAGGGCCCGCACAGCAGGCCCCAGGATCGAACCTCGGCCCCTACAGGCACTTTAATCTGCTGAGCTATTTGGCTGGCCTGATTCCTTGGGTTTTATTGTCTGGAGTACTAATTGATACTGAATTTTATTGTCTTTTATTGTTTGTATGTACGTGTTTTTACAAAAGATAACTATATTTTGAACTCAGATGGGGAAGAATATGTATCGGTTACCCATGCTGCGTAACAAATTACCCCCATCGCTAGCAATTTAAAGCTATATGCTTATTCTATTCCTGAGGAGCAAGGATTTGGCCTGTCAGGGAAGTTCTGGCCCAGGCTGGCCCATGAGGCTGCTGTCAGTCCCCCAGCCAAGGCTATGGACAAGGGCTAGGGAGGGTCTTCCAAGCTTGTCCAGCTGTCACTGGGAAGCCTCAGTTCCTTATCATTTGCCTCATAACTGGTGACTGGCTTCCCACAGACAAATGACCTGAGAGAGACAGAGATAGACACCAAGAGAAGTGCCCACTTCTCCTCCATTCTGTTCTCCTGATCACATAGTGCTGACTGGGAGGTGTAAAGACCAGGAGGAGAGGATAACTGGGGACCATCTTAGAAGCTGGCTACCCCAGACCGTATGTTATACTGTGTGTGCAGAAGTGTTTAGTAAACAATTGGCTCTAAATAGGTCAGAGGAACAAGCCAAAGCACTGAGATTTGAGTTCTTTCAAGTAACTATCTGTACTTGTACTGTTGTAATCCCCTTGCAGCAGTGGGCCGCAGAGTGTGATCCTAGACCTGGGGGTGGGGGAGCATTCACGAGCCCTTCCAGGAGCTCGCAGAGCTTGAAACTGGCTTTGTGCGTGTGTGTTTCAGAGTGTTGCAGCGAAAGCCAATGACTAGAGCCCCACAGTGCCCCTTACCTGGGGGCCTCCCATCAGGGCTCACCTTTTAAAGGGCCACAGTACATTCCAATAGTGTCCTGGGAACTTTGGGGGCACTATCCATATTCAGACCATCACACTGAATAAAAGAGAAACCATATGAAGAAATGAAAGTGCCTAGTTAGTTCAGCAGGAGCTTTTTTATGAGAAAGGAAAATAATTTTCAGTTAAGTAACTTCAACAAATAATTTACGACAAAATGGAGACACTTAGAGCGGTGGAAAGGGCAGTAGTGCAGTGAGTAAGCCTGTGAAGCATTTAAACATTTTAAAACACTTGCAGTCTTCATTGGAGATCCAACAAAAGGTACCATAGATAATTATTTTCATGTTTGTGTCTCGTTGTCTTTTTTGATCTGTCTCCCATTTTCTTCTGTGTCTGCATACTGTTCAGCTAATGGACACACTGAAAAGGACTGTTACAGAGATAAGGGGCAGTGTTTTCTTCTTTCTTTCTTTTTTTTTTTTTTTTTTTTTTATCATATGCAACTAGGGATTGAATTCAGGCCCTTGCGCTTGCCAGGCAAGCATTTATTCTATTGAGCTATCTCCCCAGCCCCAGTGTTTTCTTTCTTTTTTTTTTTTTTTTTTTTTTTAACCAGGGATTAAACTCAGGCCCTTGCGCTTGCCAGGGAAGCGCTTATTCCACTGAGCCATCTCCCGGGCCCCTGATCTTGTTAATTGACTGATAATATTCTGTCCTCTAAAAATCATCTCAGTGCCAAAGGCAAAGCCACATCTTCCACAGTTGCCCTCAGTCCCCACCCGGGGCTTGTGCTCATTTCTTCCCGTCAGTACATTGCTCCTCTTTCCTCCCCTCGTTAACTGTCTTTACCCTAGTATCCATAGAAGAGTGGCTGCGCCAGGTTTGGGAAGCTACCCCTGACCCGTGGTTTTATCTGTAAAATGTGTATGACAAATTCTGTTTATCCTGCAAGATTGCTGAGAAGTATAACTTAGGAAACAATTGTACATGTATGTTTTAAGCTGTAAAATGGTAGGGTAATATTTCTTCCACAAGACTGTTGTCTGCTTGAGAACAGGCAGATTTCACATCTTACACATCCTGTACCTTTCTGCAGCCTCTGGCTCATAGGTGAAGGTAACACAATTGGTACTGATACAGTTTTGTGGATTGAAGCACAACAGATATGCATAGTACAGGGTTTTTCCGTATGTAAAAGAGTGGGACTGAAAAGATAAGGAAAATGAAAAGGTTCCTGAGGTCCCCCACCCCACCCCACCCCTGGGAAAAAAAAATCTGTCTGAACTTTACTTTCTCTACTGAGCTAGGGAGATGGCTCAGTAGAATAAGCGCTTCCCTGGCAAGTGCAAGGGCCTGAGTTCAATCTCCTGTTCCGCAAAAAAAAAAAAGAAAAAAAGAAAGAAAAATGAAAAAGTCATTTCTGGATTTTTGGTAAATGTGTATATCACCAATTGTGCCAGCCTTAATTAACATAGGGTGTCCTTTTCAGTGTTTGTTTGTTTGGCAGTATTGAGGATTGAACCATGGCCTCTTAAGTCACTAAATTGCTCAGGCTATACTCAGACTTGGGATTCTCCTGCCTTAACCTCTCAGAATGCTGGGACTACAGGTGTGCAACACCTCCCCTGGCATCCTTTTTGTTCTAAGGAAGGAACTTACTGAGTCCCCACCATTACACTTGGGGAAAACTTTTTGTTGTTTAGAATTTCCAGCATGAACAGGTAGTTCCGCAGGCTACTGATCATGCTCCTGCAGGAGCCTGCAGGCCCAGGCTGGGGAACCACCTTTGCTTATTACATAGTTATGTAATTACAATTCTTATCAGATATGTTCTGGCTTGTAGATGTGAGGCACTAAGCATGGGATAAATGCCTTAGGGCCTTTCCCTGGAGACAAGCAGGGAAACAGAAGGGAATTTATCATCTGAAAGTGCAAAAGCTGGAGTGAACCGTCACTCACTGGGCAGTTAATGAATGCTCCATGCACCTTGGAAAGTGTGAAATCAATGGATGGCCTGCCTTTGAGATGATTAGAATATAGTAGATATTCACAACTATGAAGAACTGTTTGTTTGCTGTGTAATTAAATATGAATATTTAATTTCTCTTTGAATAGAGACTATTAATAATTTGAGATATGGGACCAGGGAGATGGCTCAGTAGAATAAGTACTTCCCTGGCAAGTGCAAGGCCCTGGGCTAGGAAGATGGCTCAGTGGAATAAACACTTCCCTGGCAAGCGCCAGGGCCTGAGTTCAATCCCCCGGTTCCGCCAAAAAAAAGAAAAAAAGTGCAAGGTCCTGAGTTCAATCCCCAGTTCTGCAAAAAAATAAAATAAAATAAAAAATTGAGATATAAATTCTGTGGTAGTTGTTCATGGAATAATCAAACTCATTTCAGAAAACCTGAAGAAGTGTAGTGATTGGAATAAACAGTGTCAGTATTTCTTTTTTTTTTTT